ATTCTGGAAAAAACAGTCGCCTCTCAACTCCACCTTCATTTAACCGATAACAGTCTATATGAACAGTTCCAGTCTGGTTTCCGTCCCGGTCATAGCACAGAATCTGCTCTCCTCACTATCACCAACTCTCTTCTCATGGCAGCAGATTCTGGATTACTTTCTCTCCTCATCCTCCTCGATCTCAGTGCGGCTTTTGATACCATCTCCCACAACATCCTCCTCCACAGACTTTCATCCATTGGCATCACCCACACACCCCTCGCTTGGTTTCAGTCATATCTCTCTGGCCGCACTCAGTTCATCCAACTGAAATCATTCAGATCCCATTCCTCTCCTGTGACTTCAGGTGTGTCCCAAGGCTCTGTCCTGGGGCCCCTTCTTGTCATCATCTACCTTCTCCCCCTTGGTAATATCTTTCGTAAATTTAACATCCATTTCCACTGTTTTGCTGATGACAACCAGCTCTTTTTATCCACTGCACCTAACTCTTCACTTCCTCCTTCCTTCCTCACTTCCTGCTTAGCTGAAATTAAATCCTGGTTCACGTCTAACTTCCTGAAATTAAACAGTGATAAAACAGAGTTTCTACTCATTGGCACTAAATCCATCTTATCTAAAGTTAACAGTTTCTCACTCACCATCGACAACTCCTTGGTTTCTCCCTCCCCTCACGTCAAGAGTCTGGGTGTCATTCTTGACAGCACTCTCTCTTTCCACTCTCACATCAATAGTATTACCCGGTCTGCATATTTCCACCTTCGAAATATCAACCGTCTCCGTCCATCCCTCTCTCCACACTCTGCTTCCATCCTGGTCCACAGTCTGGTCATTTCTCGAATCGATTACTGTAACTCTCTCCTCTTTGGTCTGCCTCACAAATTAATCCGTAAGCTTCAAATGGTTCAAAATTCAGCTGCCCGCATCGTCACCAAAAACCCCTCATTTCACCACATCACCCCAGTTTTACAGCAACTTCACTGGCTTCCAGTCACATTCAGAATTCAATTTAAAATCTTGTTGTTCACTTTCAAAGCTATCCACAACCTCGCCCCTCCTTACCTGTTAGATCTCCTGCACATTACCACCCATTCACGCTCCCTTCGTTCTTCCACTTCCATCCACCTTAACGTGCCTCTTGTCCGCCTCAGCACCATGGGACACAGAGCCTTTTCTCACTCTGCTCCCCAGCTCTGGAATGCTCTTCCCCCAGACATCCGTAACATTGACTGCCTTCTGACTTTCAAATCAAAACTCAAAACTCATCTGTTCAAGCTAGCCTTTTCACTTTAACTGTTATTTTTAAATGTTATTTTCTTTTTGGTTTAGTGTTTTAAATAGTTATTTTATATTGTTTAATACTGTGTTTTTAATGCTGTGACGTGTCCTTGGGTGTTTTGAAAGGCGCTGACAAATAAAATGCATTATTATTATTATTATTTACATATTTGGATTTATGATAGCAGGGACTCTGCTTTTTGGCATCGGTGGGGCTCTGTTTTATTGTCTATTGAAGAAGACATCGGTCACCTCCAGGACCTGTGCCCACTCTCATTTAGGGTTCTGGGCAAGGGTTGGGGAGGTGAACGGGCACTGCCTGCTCTCTGGGGAGGGGGTGGGTCTGTGCCAGTCGCCGCCTCATCCCCCCATTTTAAACACACTATTTAAAAAGATGCATCAACATCTTATTTGAGTGGGAGGAGGGAGGAGTTGGGTCTTCCTTAAACCCTCATTCTCTGTCTGACATTTGGGGGCGGGGGCCGGGGGGGGGGGTAGGCTGCCTGGTTGGGGTCTGGGCTGTGGGTTGGTATTGGGCCTTGGGGGACGATTGGGGGTGGGGCTGGTGCTCCGGTTCTCCCTGGATTGTTTGGATCTTTTGATCGGGGTTCCTGGTTCCGATGGCCAGCCCTTTGGCTGGGGTGGCTGCCAGGTTCTGGCGGGGGGTCGGCTGTGCTTGTGTTTGTGTGGTCGTTGGTAGTGCGTGGTGGCAGTCGGGGGCGTGGCTTCACTTCGACGGGGTGCTGGCTTGTCGGCCTGATGTGACATTCGCGGTGGGGGGGTGCTGTGTGTGTGGTGGGGTGCATGGGTGGCATGCCGGGGCCTCTCCGGGCCTGTGGTGTGGGGCTTTCATTGGTGTGCTGGGCCGGCCTTCCTCGGCTGCTGCTCCCTGCTGCTATGGCCCCCGGCCTGGGGCCGGATTGAGGTCACTGTTGGGTGGGTGGGGCGCATGGACGGCCCGACAGAGGCTCTGTTGGGCTGTCTCTGAGTGCCTGTTTGTCTCAGGTTGGGTTTTAGGTGGTCCCCTCTCTTGGATAAGTTTTGGCCCCCCAGTCGTGCTCCCCTCCGGTGGTGGGCCCCCCTGCCGCCGGTGCATTGGTGGCTCTCAGCAGCTGGGGCTGGGTGGTGGGGTGTGTGCGGGCCCACCCTGGTGGCTGCCTGCGGGGGCCTGGGTGCCCTGGCTCTGTCGGGAATCTGTTGGGGGGTGGTATGACCTCGGGACTCGGGGCTTGGTGTCCATGGCCGGATCCACTCTGGAGGGGCGGGTTGCCGGCGGGGCCTGTGGGCTCATCGCTGCAGCCTCCTGGGGTTTCCTCATTGTGGTTGCTGGGGATCGCCCGGGGCTTCCCTTTGCTTCGCGCTCTAGGGGGTGTGGGTGTCTCTGTTGGGGGACTCCTGGAGTTCTGGGCTTGGGGACCGCTGTGTGTCTGTGGTTCCGGTCTTCCCTGTGTTACCTTTGTGTCCTGTGGGGATGGGTTTATGGGTCACCACATCCACTATTGAACATTTTTATGGAGAAACCTTATAGTGATAAGCATGCTCACACAGGTGTTTAGATTCAGGTGTTTATCAGATATACACTCAGTTGGGTTGTGGTGGCCATCAAATATATTTTGTATTACCATGTACTGTATAAAATACTTTCTAATGATGTTATAAGTATCATTATATATGTTGTTTGTTGTTGTGGTTTCTCGGTTTTGCCGTTTTGTTTTTTTTTTCCCGCAGGTCTAGAGTCAGACTTCAATGATGTTGATTTGTGTTCTCTTTATCCCTCTCTCTCTCCTCTATTCCTATCTCCTTCTTTACATTTTAACTCTTCTCTCACTTTTCTGCTTTGTTATCTTCTTTGTTTCTCATCCCCGTGTCCATTACATCTGAAACAAGCCCAAAGCATATTCTAATAAAATTTAATTTATATATCAAGTGGAGCATTAAGGCCAGCCATAATGCTCTGCTTGTGAAAGTAAATCTGTTGGGCATCACTTTGACACTCGGACAATAATTCTAAGTGTCACAATGCCAGACAGGACAAGGGAGGGGAAAAAAAAAGAAGACATAGGCAGCAGTTTCAGCCATGACAAAGCTTCCGAGTCAGTAGCTATGTTTACATGCGCAGAATTCTTTGAGCGGATTGAAATGTGTTCTGTTTGAATAATTCAAATGTATTGTTTACATGGGCACAATCTGTTCTTGATGAGCGTTTACATGCAGCGGGCTTTGTTCTGAACAGCAGTACTGACATGCGCAGAGTGGTAAACTCTCCTTAAAAAACCACCGAAGAAGAAGTTCTACTTCTGGGATGAACGTAAACAAACCTGAGCACCCAAAATGGACCCGCGACAGGTTTTAATGATGGTGGAGACGTTACTGCACTCCCTGACTGAGCTACAGGTAATACAGATCATTTTGAGCTCTTTCAAAGTTTCTAATAGAAATGTTGTCGCTCACCGACCAGTTTTGCTTCCCTGACATGCTAACATTATTAGCGTTAGCCAGGCGGAAATGGCAAAGTCGCACATGCGCAGTCAGGTCAGTTTTTCACGATCAGATAAAAACGAACAGATCAAGTGTTTACATGCGCACCGATCGGGTTACGGATCGGGGTAAACCACCCGTTTCGTTCTGATCACAAATTATATCGGATCGCGCCGAATGCACAAAAAATAACCCGAACGGAGTGTTTACATGACACACTTTTATTCCGACCGGCCAATTGATCCGGTTACTTATGTCCATGTAAACATACCCAGTGTGAAGGTTTGATCCGTGCAGTGAGTTCTCATAGTCAGCTGATTTACGAGCCAAACTGTAAGGTGGAGGCAATTTATGAGAATCGCAGGGCACCTGCGGCTTCTGGGACTCGTCAGCGTGGTGGGATCGACTTTGAAGGTGACTCATAACATGGATCACTGGAATGGAATCCCACAATTAGGCCTTTTTGGAACCAGAATGTCCAGATGGACTCAAGGCTGAAGAAAAAAAATCTGTCTGCCTGAAGAAAAATCAACAATCAAAGCTTATCTGAATCGGACTCCCCGCCGGCCTTGGAGACGGGCCAACTATCAAATTACTCCTGGGTCATGGGTAACCAAGGACAAAAGCTTCATCTATCGCATGTACGTGTTCTCGTTGTATCTCGGTGCAATGATAATAAAGCTTATTTTGATTCTGATGCTGCTGATCTATTTCATGCTGCTGTGTTCATTCTTACTCATCAGTTCACACAGACTCATGTTCATGCGTTTCTCGGATACTCACACAATGAGAAAAAAAGCATGTATGGAGAGTTATCTAGGGGAAACACTGTGTATGGTATATGTATGTACAGGTCCTTCTCAAAAAATTAGCATATTGTGATAAAGGTCATTAT